CTCAGTTTAAATATCCCTCTGCCATGAATCCTTCCCCAACTCTGCATAATAGTCAAAGTTCTCTAGAGAAACATAACCAACAGAAAATGGATAAATATAGATGGATGTGTCATAAGGAATTGGTTCATGTGATTACGGAGGCTGAGAAATCCCACCATCTGCTCTATGCAAGCTGGAGACCCAGGAGGACTAGTGATGTAGTTCCAGTGGGAGTCTGAAGGCCAGAGACCCAGGACAGCCAGTGAGAAGGCGGGAGAAGACAGATGTCTCAGCTTGAAAACAGCCAGGCAGAGAGAACGAATTCTCCCTTGCTTCTCCTTTTCTTTGTGTTCAGGCCTCCGACAGGTTGGATGCCACCCACCGTGTTAGAGAAGACAACCCGCCTTACTCAGTCTACCAGTTCAAAGAGTAATCATTTCAATTAATCTATGAAAGTTCAACACCCTCATGGACATCCCCAGAAACCATTTTTAACCAAATATCCGGGCACCTCACGACCCAGTCAGCATGACATATAAATTACCCATCCCACTCCACCTTGAGCAGAACTCATTTTTTTTCCAAACCTCACACTCAGACACAGTCTCAGAACTTCATTGCCACTCTGCTTTCTACAACATACTGTCACCGGATGTCAGCTTGTCCTTGTCCTCAGCCATCCCAAGAGGTCCTTAAGTGGGCGGGGAGAGAACTGTGGTCATCTCTGCATCCTGGTGCCCAAACAGGGCCTGGGCCCCACAAGGGGTTCGGGACATGTTTGTTGACATAAGACAAGCTATTGCTATTCTTACATATAAATAGAGTTATGAATACACTCAGCAAATATTTGAGCACCTGCTACATATGAACCCTGTAGTAGCAGTAGGGAAGATGATCCTAATCAAAAGAGATCAATCCATTGCGTGGTGGAGCAGGTGGCGATAGGGCTGTGAAGAGCAGTGGAGCAGGGCAAGAGGAGGAGAGGTTATTTCAGGGAAGGGCTCTCTGACAGAAGGGATTGGTGAGGACCAGAAGGACCTGGGGGAGCAAGCATGGGGCTCTCAATGGGATGGCACTCTTTGCAGGGGAACGGACAGTGCAAAAGCCCTGAGGTAGGAGAAGAGGTGACACATTCAAAACAGAGAGAGGAAAGGCTGGGTATAGTGGGGAGTGCCTGTAAACTCAGCATTTTGGGAGGCCGAGGTGGGAGGATGGCCTAAGCCTCCAGGAAACTGAGACCAGCCTAGGTGACACAGTGGGACCCCGTCTCAAAAAACAAAACACACAGCTCGAGGAGGCCAGTGGAGTCAGGCATCATGAAAAGGGTGCTCTAGGAGACAGGTCTGCGCATGTGCGCTGGGAGACAGCCGGGTCTGCGCATGTGCACTGGGAGGTCTGCGCATGTGCTCTGGGAGAAGCTGGGTCTGCGCATGTGCAGCCTTGCCGACGTCCGGCGTTGGCGTTTTCCTGGGCCTGAGACAGAGCCACAGAGGAGTTGGGGGAGAGACGTCACACGGCCTGGCTTCGGCTTTGGGAGACAGAGAAATGCAGCCGACTATCCTGGCACAAGTCCCTTCTGAGCACGTGTGCGCTCCTGGGATTCTCGAGGCTCCCTAAGGAGGAGGGTCTGGTGATCCCCCTGAGCCCCTGCTCTGCCCCGGGCGAGAAGGCCTTCAACTCCCAAAGCAGGGCCACACAAGGGCAGGGAGTTCCCTATGGAACCCCTGGCCCAGTGGAGCTTTTTCTGCCAAGTGGGCATCTTCCAACCGCAGAGCCAGCACCCAGGCCCCTTCACTTCTGGGCTGGCTGCCAGGCCATCGACTCAGGCCAGGGCAGCCCCTGGAGCTGCCTGAATGCCTAGGACGTGCTCAGGTCCACACTGTTATGCAGTAGGTCCCCCAAACGTTTGTGCTTTGCTAAACGTACATTTAGGATTTTCTGCTTATCCCCCTTACACTTTGACACCCTCTGCTCACCCCATCCGTTCCCCACTTTCTATGTGCCAGGCACGCGTGCTCTTCTAGGGTGGCATTCGCCTGACACCAGGTGGGTGTTCCGTACGTGTTTGCAGAATACAGGGGAAAGCACTCAGACCCCGTACTTAGAGAAGAGCGGAGGATTACACCAGGACTTCAGTGATGAATGAGCACCGAGCGGGGAAGGTCATTTTCAGCAAATGCTCACAGGCAGGATGCATTCAGAGCCCATTAGTCACTCACTCAGCATGGAAGGTAGGGGTGGTTCTGGGTGTTACGTGACAAAATCCAGGTGTTTCCAGAATATTAATCCAGCAGAAGGATAGACTGAAGGAAAGAAATCAGAAAGCTAGGAGATTGGTTTAGAGTCCTTGGTTGCAGACTTGAACGTACGTTGCATGAGTTTCTAAACCCAGTGATGAGAAGAAAGGTGTGTTGGCCAACAGCCTTGGTCGGAGGTGAAAGGACATGAGCTGGAGCACTGTGAGGATGCTGCCCTTCATATTGGCAAGAACTCTGCCCAGCTGTGGCTTTCTTTCCTTCGTCTGCAACTGGAAGAACACTGGAGACATCAGATGTTGTGTAAGAACTAAGAATGAACCGCGGAGATGCTTAGCATCTGGGTGCTATTTGTAGAGGTGTGCTAGGTGATATGTATTAGAATCTTGGATTTTGAAGAACCTGGTGGATATGACTAGAAAAGTAAAGGAGAAAATAACTCCAGCACTGAGCGACTAGAGACCTGGAAAGTGGTCCTTGATGTCACAGTGAGCACTGGGAACTATATGTCCCCGGGGCCTCAAACCCCAGACTCACCTTCCCTTGAATACACATCCAGTATGTTCCAAGCGCAGGCATACTACAGGGAGTCCAGCCTGCCCAGAGTGCCCCCTCACTGGTATTGACACCCAAGGGAAGATTGGCCTGTCTGCCTCATGGATATTAAGGACACCCCAAGGAAGGTTGGCCTGTCCTCTATTTCCAGAGGCAGCCCTTTATCCTCCATGGCCACCTCTTCACTGAAGTACCCAAGAACTTCATCAAGCACAGCACACATCGGACTCCAAGGTTTAACCAAACTTTATGAAGGCTGTGGGAATTACAAACGAAACTCAATTCAGAAAACGCAAGTGAAGCCTCAGCAGAGGGTCCTCAGTGCTTTACCACTTCTTAGTCCCCTGCTGCCTTCTGCCATGTTATAGGGACTGCTTTTCTTTTACAGATTTGGGGTCCTCTCCCCCTGCCCTTGGACAGAGACAGTAGGAGACCCTCTGCTCCCCTGAGCCCAGGCCTGCCTCCCACTTCCCGTCAGGTTGAGCCACAAGAGGAAACATGGGTCTTCTTGAAGAACTTTCCATTCCACCTGCCACCACCTTGGCAAGGCGGCCAGACACATCTCCAAAGTCCGGCTCACTCGAGCCAGCTCTCTTCACGGCCTGTCTTCCAGCAAGAGGCAAATCAGAAATCAGACCCACACGTGCTCTTCCTGGCAGAACTGGCCTTATATGCATTCCTGGGTGAATAAACAGGGAGACGTCTCCTAAGAACAAATGCTTCTCAGAAACAGTCCAGTCTAAACTCATATTGAAGGGAGAATAAGCCAGCCATAGGCTGGAGAGACCCCCACCTACATTACTAAGTAACAGGAAAGGCTAAGATTTGGAGCCTTCCTCTGGTTCAGATCTATTCCCAGAATGATGGAAGATGCTTGCCTATTAACAATATTTTTATATTAAAAATCCCACTCAGGAAGTCTCTTCTGATAAGAAGGAACCATCCTCTAAGGCAATTCCAGCGTCTTCCCTGAAATGTACATCCACTACTGAGCCTTGGATTGCTATTGCTTCCCACTGCTTCCACAATTTTAAGGTCTTCAGCAACAGGAGAAAACAGCAGGAAAATCTGAAGTGCAATTGGCTGCCTCTGAGATGTCACTAGCAGAAAAAGGGAACACGAAGAAAAGGCAAGATTCAAAAGTCGGGCTGGACGCGGTGGCTCAAGCCTGTAATCCCAGCACTTTGGGAGGCCGAGGCTGGTGGATCACGAGGTCAAGAGATCGAGACCATCCTGGCCAACATGGTGAAACCCCGTCTCTACTAAAAATACAAAAAATTAGCTGGGCATGGTGATGCGTGCCTGTAATCCCAGCTACTCAGAAGGCTGAGGCAGGAGAATTGCCTGAACCCAGGAGGTGGAGGTTGCGGTGAGCCGAGATCGCGCCATTGCATTCCAAAAAAAAAAAAAAAAAAAAAAGATTCAAAAGTCAGAGGTGACACTTTCTGTTCCAAACATCTGGGGGATCACCTTTTCAGAAGTCAGACTCGAAGCCCTGCATTCTGGCGTGAGTGAGTTCTTCTACAGGTAGGGATGCTCCTGGAAAGATCTTAATTTTTAAGATGGCAGGTAAGGGGCCTTCAGTTGGAGAATCTTACCAGTTGATTCTCAAAGCCAAAAATGTCTTACTGTCTGAAACATGTGGTCCTGAGTAGTTCAAGTTGACCCATACAGACTTATATTTGCAGACCTGCCAAGGAAGATTAGGAAAAAATGTGTCTGATCTTACTCAACTCTGAACATTGCATGAGTCAAACATTTTCCTAGCTCTCTGTTTGTGTAATAGGTTCATGCTTATGGATTCTTGGCGATGTATCTTTCACAAACAAAATTCAAGAGACCATTCAAAGTGGCTCCCATGAAAGCTGCTGCAGAGCCCAGACATTCAGGAGCCAAGAGTGAAGGGAGCAAAAGCCATCTCTCAATGTTCACTGAGACTTTGCGAGCCTTAGGGCAAGTTGGCGATGCCAAAACGTGTCTTAGGGCACGTTTGTCAATGTACAGGTCTTGGGCGGGATTGGGAGCCTCCACGAATGTTACCGAAGTAAAGGGGGAGACGGTAGCTGAATAATCTCTCATCATCCCTAAAGTGCAAAGTGAAATGAGAATGGAGTTCTCCTTCCAAATCCACTTGGAGTGAGTCCCGAAAAGACTCACTTTTACGGCAGTTCCCACAATGACATCATCGGGGCAGAGGTTATATAATTTAAAGCCACATTTCGACAGAGCTTCCCAGAAGAGAGAACACCTCTGAAGGCAGCTCTTACCACAGAAAACCCAGCTAAAGTTGTGAACACCTTCATTTGCTGCCTGGGTAAGTAAATGACCACCTTTTTTTTTTTAAATGAGAGTACAATATAAGAGGAAATCTGTGTCTCTTAGAAAAACAAAAAACTTCTTTTGCCCATAGTCCTAGCGACTCAGGAGGCTGAGGCAGGAGAATGGCTTGAACTTGGGAGGCAGAGGTTGCAGTGAGCCAAGATCATGCCACAACACTCCAGCCTGGCGACAGAGTGAGACTCCATCTCAAAACAAACAATACAAAACAAAACTTCCTTTTATACCTACCTATTGGCAAAATTTTCTGCTTCTTTGAGGAAACTTTTAAAAAATAATTCTAAATCAATTTAAGAGACTTTTATTTTACGCCTAATTTGGGTCTTAATTGCTTTTCCAGAACAGGAGGAGGAGGGACAGGTTTTAGAACTGTTGGGAAGGTTCCAGTAGCTCCTCCTATCAAGATCAAGTGAAACTTGTCAGAGCTGAATGCAGCCGCCGGAGCTCGCATGGACTCTGACCAGTTACAGCCTGCAAATTCCGATTCATGAAAATTAAATTAGTCTCTCTGGGATGGCTTACAATATTTCATAAGACCAGTAACTGATTGAGTTCTTTGTGTCTTGAAAGTAGCATTTATTATGTGACTACACTGATGGTCTTTAACATTTATGGCTGTATTTCCAATGCCTTTATCATCATCGTGCTGTTGAAATTGAAGTTGGCCAGGCGCGGTGGCTCAAGCCTGTAATCCCAGCACTTTGGGAGGCCGAGGCGGGTGGATCACGAAGTCGAGAGATCGAGACCATCCTGGTCAACATGGTGAAACCCCGTCTCTACTAAAAATACAAAAAACTAGCTGGGCGTGGTGGCGCGTGCCTGTAATCCCAGCTACTTAAGAGGCTGAGGCAGGAGAATTGCCTGAGCCCAGGAGGCAGAGGTTGCGGTGAGCCGAGATCGCGCCATTGCACTCCAGCCTGGGTAACAACAGTGAAACTCCATCTCCAAAAAAAAAAAAAAAAAAATTGAAGTTAATTTGAAGAATTCACTAATTTGTTGAAGAAAGTCACACTCTCTCATAGCCAAGGTTAAAATGCTCAGAATTCAGAGAATACCATATAGGAATTACAGAATTGTCATCTCTAGTAGACTTGCCCAATGTCCCTTCTGAGTTCTTCAAATAAGATCACATATTACTAACAATATCTGTAGATACTGTTTATTGAGCACCTACTATGTTCCAGGCAAATATCAGAGCTAAAGATAAAAACTGGCAAAGGAAGATTTCTCCTCTCTGGCCAACCTTATAAACACAGACAGCAGGAGGTGAAGACAGTCCCTTTAAAAATAAACCCTACATGAGCAGACACATGCTGTGGCTGCAGTGGCCCCAGCCACCTCCCGATCCTGGGGATTGGGGTGGTGTCCACTGACCTGATCAGATTCGAGTTAAAATTTCTGCATAGCTGGTCATCTCCAGCTTCTGGACCAGGGTGCAGCCTCTCCCCCTGTGCTGTTTTCCCACGGCTGCTGTAATTAATTAGCACAAAATTACTGGCTTAAAACAATGCAAGTTAATTATCTTACAGTTCTGAAGGTCAGAAGTTCAAACTCAGTCTGGCTGAGCTAAAGTCAAGGTATTGGTCTGGCTTTGTTATCTGCCCCCATGATTCAATTATCTCCCACTGAGTCCCTCACACAACACATGGGAATTATGGGAGCTACAACTTAAGATGAGATTTGGGTGGGGACATAGCCAGACCATATCATGCTCAACACCCTCCCATCTCTTCTTAAACCCTCAATGCCCCAGCCTCTCCACCCCAGCTCAGGACCTCTCCTTCTTTCTCCCTGAGAAAACCCAATTGATCACAGGACAGTTCCACAGATTCCCACCTGCCAGCTTCTGTCACCATAGACCTCATCAGAGGTAGCTAGAAGAGGGATGGCCAAACCATGTGCTGTGCACACTGCCGGGCTACCCCAACAGTCAAAAACTATGTCCCCCCAAAATAAGTATTTATAGGTAGAGAGAGGAAGGAAGGAAGGAAGGAAGGAGGGAAGGCAGGAAGGAGGGAGGGAGGGAGGATGGGAGGAAGGAGCGATGGAGGGAAGCAGTATAGAAAGGAGGATGAGAGGGAGGGAGGGAGGAAGAGAGGAGGGAAGGAAGGGAGAGAGGGAGGATGGGGAAGGAGAGAAGGAGAGAAGGAAAGAGGGAGGGAGTGAGGAAAGCAGATGGGAAGGAGGGAGGGAGGAAGGATGAAGGGGAGGAAGGGAGGGATGATGGGAGGGAGGGAGGAAGGAAGGGAGTATTGGAGGGAGGGAGGAAGGAAGGGAGTATGGGAGGGAGGGAGGGAGGAAGGAAGGGAGGGAGGATGGGAGAAGGAGAGAGGGAGGGAAGCAGGATAGAAAGGAGGGAGGATGAGAGGGAGGGAGGGAGGAAGAGAGGAGGGAAGGAAGGGAGAGAGGGAGGATGGGGAAGGAGAGAAGGAGAGAAGGAAAGAGGGAGGGAGGGAGGGAAGCAGACAGGAAGGAGGGAGGGAGGAAGGATGAAGGGGAGGAAGGGAGGGATGATGGGAGGGAGGGAGGAAGGAAGGGAGTATTGGAGGGAGGGAGGAAGGAAGGGAGTATGGGAGGGAGGGAGGAAGGAAGGAAGGGAGGGAGGATGGGAGGAAGGAGAGAGGGAGGGAAGCAGGATGGGAGGGAGGGAGGGAGTAAGGAAGGGAAGGGAGGGAAGGAAGAGAGGGAAAAATGGCCAATAAAATGGTTATATTATATTGATGGTGTTATAAAGTAGTTCTAGACAAAAACTATTTTCCAAAAACTCTTTAAATATATGTATAAATATGTATATATATATACATCTACTTACATTAAAGCAAAATAAAACAATTTTTGTTAATTAACTGAATATTTAAAAATAAGCAAAATCATTGTTCTTGCTGCATATTCACATGCTGCAGTTTCTTGTGCCTGACTGACACCATGTCATTGGCATTTTTCCCAAAAATTCCCAAGTATTTTTGTCAATGTGTTCTTGTTATTTTTAATTTTTCCATGTAATTGCCTGAAATCTTTTTTCCACAAGTTTTACAATTAACAAATTTAAATTAGTGCCTTCAGTTGACTCTTCTCTTGAACCATAATATATTGAGAAAATGTTCTCTCTGCAGGTGCTCAGCAATAAGCTCTCAGCAAATTCTGCCAGGCAGAGGCTGTTCTCCAGTCCAATTCTTTGCATATGAAATTACAAAAATATTTTAGCCCAGATATTTTCACAGGTGCTGTCTTTTGGCCTTAGTTCAGGATTCCTTTCTTCCACAGAGTTGTGTTGTTTTGTTTTGTTTTGTGAGATGGAGTCTCACTCATAGTGGTGTGATCTTGGCCCACCACAACCTCCGCCTCCCGGGTTCAAGTGATTCTCCTGCCTCAGCCTCCCAAGTAGCTGGGATTACAGGTGCCTGCCAGCACACTCAGCTAATTTTTGTATTTGTAGTAAATACAAGGTTTCACCATGTTGGCCAGGCTGGTCTTGAACTCCTGACCTCAGATGATTCGCCCGCCTCGGCCTCCCAAAGTGCTGGGATTCCAAGCATGAGCCACTCCTCCCAGCCCACAAGTTTTGTTTGTTTGTTTGTTTTTTTTAAACAAGATTCAAGCTTCTGTACCTATTTATAAGTTTTGAATGTTTGTCAAATTTAGATACTGCAAATCATAGGTTTTCTCAATTTCATCCCATTTCCGTACAGAACATGAATTTATGCATTAAAAAGATTCTTCCCACAAATTGAGATATTCCAGAGCTCATTATAGGATTTCAGAATTACGTCTTGTACAGCATTGGATTTTGATAATTTTCTGATACATTTTATAATTTTCTGCATACCAGCTTCGTTTTCAATAATTATAGTCCCACTAAAACTTTGAAAGCTGATGTTTTGGTGCTCTATCCATTGAATAACTTAAAATTTCCAACAGATTTGGAACAAAATTCAAAAACTTAGAGATCTGTTTTCACTCACTGTTTAATAGCTGATAATGGGCAAATAAAAGAGAAAACACATGAAAGTCTAGTTGTTCAAAAGACTTCATGAACAACTTTATCACAAGTTTGTAGTTCAGTAAATCTGTGCATGTCTTAACATTTTGTAAATTTTGTCAAGTACATCTATTTCAATTTATAGAATATTGACACTTATTTATATGCAATAACACATGTGTGTGCACCACGACCTATTCCAATCACATTTCTGTTTCATTGGTGTCTTAATTTAGTAGGAATATTATTGTTACCATGACACTGGACTCCACCAAAACTTGTGTTTTATCCTCACAAAAATGCAGTGACTTTATTCCCAATGTGGAAAATTGAAACAATTTAAAATAGCATTCACAAAAAAGTCAGTTGTTTCACTTTGCCAGAATGAATGTCCCAAACCCCAGTTTTGCTTCCATGAGCTGGATGAAAGAGGGAACTGTGATTGGAATTAACAGGTTTTTCTGTCTGAAGAGTCTGAGGATGCCGGTGTTGAGCTTTTTTTACTTTCATTGATGTTCTTTTGGAACCAGAGCACAGTCAGCCTTCACTTCCACTATTGCACGTGCACAAGAAAAGCTGGAACTGAATGTGAGCTGAATTAACTTAAAGAACAGTCGTTTGATCTAAGGGAAAAGTCATGCCTCCCAGAATGATCGTATAACAGCGTCTTTTGCAGCTACACAGATGAGACCCAGGTCTTAGGGTGCGATGTTCTTAAAATTACTCATTTCTGAAGTAGCAGCTCCGTGTCTTAGGTTTTCTTGCAATCAGTGAAATTGCTGCAGCCCCCATAGTGATGCAAATATCAGTAAACATTCTGTGCAATTTATCTGCTCATCAACAGCTTCCTTGAGCGACAGAAGTGCAGTGCTTAAATTTCGATTAAACATTTGTTTTTTAGCTCATCACTCCAAAAGGGTTTATTGCAAATTCTTTAAGTATTGCCAAATGATAAAATAAACATGGCTTTGGATTTATGCCCTGCAAAAAATGACCAGACTATTTTAACAAGAGTCTCCAGCATCCTCCATATGTTCTAGGCAGGGACTGCTCAGCTTCTGTGTGCCACGGACAACCACCAAATCATGATTTGCCGTGTCTCTTGCCAATCTGTCAGCCAGCAACTCTGCGGCTTCTGCTCTTTTATCTAATCTCTCCCTTGGTGATTTCATCCAGACTTGTGGCTTTAAATACCATTCCTGTGATTACAACTGCCAGTTACGTCTCATCATCCCAAATCTTGTCCCTGAATACCAAACTTGTCTATCTCATTGCCTACGGGACGTCCCCACGTGATGTCCAATTTGCATCTCAACCTTAGCAATTCCAAAGTTGAACTCCTGATCTCCCACTCCACATACAAAAAGCTGCTTCATCTTCATTCTGCCATCTTCCTTTCCTCTGATGACAACTTCATACTTCCGGGTGTTTGGTCCAAAAGCTTTGGCACTGTCCAATTCCTCCTTTCTCCCACCTGGATCCAACTGAAAATCACGGCTTTAGTACCTCCAGAATGCATCTAGGGTCTGATCACCTCTCACCACCTGCACTGCTACTCTTCCCAGCTATCACCTGCCAGCATGTTTATTTATTGTGAGTATTGTTTATCAATTCTTTCTCCTGCTAGGCTTATATGCACACTGAGAGCCGGGATTTTTGTCTGCTGTATTCATTGCTATGTCCTAAATACCTAGAACAGTGCCTGGCATATATTACGTTCTCAGTAAATACCTGCTCAGCAAATACATGACTGGAAGAACCAGCGAATTATATCCCAGTGTGAATAATTCCATGTGAGTGACATGACAGAATGTCACAGCTAGAAGGGCCTCTTGAGGTCATCATGTCTCCCTTAGATAAGGAAAGTCAGGCTCAGCGACATAAACTGACTTGCCCGAGGTTACATAGCCAAATGTGCTCTTCCAAGATTAATTCTCTGCTACACAATATCTTTTGTTGGTATCTGTGAGGCTTTGCATGGTTGAAGGAATCTCAGACATCACCTAGTAATAACAATCATGATGGTGACAGCTAACGTTTGCCGTGTGCTATTGATGAGTCAGAAACCCTGCTCAGCTCTGGGTGTATATTAACCTATCCAAGTTGGGGAATAGTGTTTAGGCTCTGAGGCTTGTCTAGAACCCCAGAAATCCCACAGTGTAGGCAACTGCTCACTCTGCAGATAGGATTTTGTGGGTCCCTGAGTTGGCTGTGGGAGGTTTTGCTGACAGGAGGCTACAAAGCCACGAGCACAGGATGTGACCTACCCCTCATGGGACCACAGAGGGCTGGAAGACAGAGTCTTCCCTAAGGAAAGAAATAGAGTTTTCTATCCCTCTTCTGGTGTGACTCAGCATGGAAGCATAGGAGGCAGGTCAGGATATGAGCTTGAGCTGTGGGGTGTGTGCAGACCAAGGTTCATAGCATACACTGTACCCACCAGCTCTGGATCCTCTGGCAAGCGTGGGAGGCCAGCCAGCTGCATGGCTGTGAACACAGCTTCTGGGGTCCATGCAGACCAAGGTTCCTAGTGTAGCCCTGTAATCACCAGCCAGGTCTTCTCTGACAAGCTGGTTAACTTCTCTGAGCCTGGCTTCGCCATTCGCCAATTGGTGACAGGTGCAGCGGAAGAGAACGGACAGAAGCACAGGGTCTCCATCAGGCTCTCGAATCAGACTGCCTGGGTTTAAATCCAGGGTCTGTTGACCAGCTGGGTGACCTCAGGCAACTCAGGGTCTCAGCACTCAATTTTCTAATTGGCTAACTGGAGATGACAATGGCCCCCACCTTGTCTGGCTGCCGGAAAGATTAAATGAGAAAATACTTAAATGTGAAACACTTAGAATGGTGCCTGAAACATGGAGACCATTAATACCATCTAACAAGTGTTAGTTGTTATCCTTATTTTATTTGTGCTTTCCTTTTTCTTTCTTTCTTTTTTTTGAGACAGGGTCTCAGTTTTCCATCAGCCCAGGATGGAGTGCTATGGCATAATCACGGCTCACTGCAGCCTCGAACTTCCAGGCTCAGATGATCCTCCCACCTCAGCCCCTTGAGTTGCTAGGACCACAGGCATGCACCACCATGCCTGGCTAATTTTTGTATTTTTTGTAAAGACAGGATTTCACCATGTTGCCCAGGCTGGCCTTGAACTCCTGGGTTCATCTGATCCACCCACCTTGGCCTCCCAAAGAGCTGAGATTATAGGTGTTAAGTCACCACACCTGGCCATACTCATGTTTTTCAAGCCCATAAGAGGAACCTCCTAGCATTGTCCCCACCCTGCCCACCTCACTGGTCCCAGCCCCCAACAGGTCAGCTCCCTTTGCTGTTCCCGGGCTTCCCACACTTCTGTCTCAAGCCATGACCTCTGCCTCCATGTCTGCAGCCCCATGAGGCTGGGGCTGCTCTGTCCTGCATATCTGCAGTGCCCGGCGAGGTGCTGGCATGAAGTAGGTGCTCATTAAATGCCTGTTAAGAGGTTAGTAATAATAATAATGGTACTGTTGTTACTAAGACTAATCACTACCTTCCAAAGTCTTTCCTCTACGCCAGGCAGCGAGCTAAGCACCCCATAGATGCTATCACCATCCCTCCCATGATCCCACAAGAAAAACCCAATTCTCTCCAATGTTTAAAAAGGAAAGTAAAAGTCAACGTGTCTTAGTAGCTCACACTGAGTGGTTGTACCAGGATTTGGACTCAGGCACCATGTTTTAAACCAGAGGTGAGCAAACTTTTCCTCTGAAGGAACAGATGGTAAGTATCTTCAGCTTTGCAAGCCAGACGGTCTCCATTGCAAGCACTCGGCTCACCCTTGTAGCATGAACGCAGGCCGTAGATAATGCGTCCATGAATGCGTGTAGCTCTGTGCCAATAAAACTTTATTGGCCATAGGTGACAGGCTGGTTTGGCTCATAAGCCGTAGCCTGCCACTTCCTGTTGTCTTCTACCTACTGTTCATTTCAGGTCATGTACACAGCAACCTGGGCCCCTCTACAGCTCCAGTCCTCCAACCAGAGCCAGCTCTCCCCTCAAAATGCTACAGCCTGTGACAATGCTCCAGAAGCCTGGGACCTGCTGCACAGAGTGCTGCCCACATTTATCATCTCCATCTGCTTCTTCGGCCTCCTGGGAAACCTTTTTGTCCTGTCGGTCTTCCTTCTGCCCCGGCGGCGACTGAACGTGGCAGAAATCTACCTGGCCAACCTGGCGGCCTCTGATCTGGTATTTGTCTTGGGCTTACCCTTCTGGGCAGAGAATATCTGGAACCAGTTTAACTGGCCTTTCGGGGCCCTCCTCTGCCGTGTCATCAACGGGGTCATCAAGGCCAATTTGTTCACCAGCATCTTCCTGGTGGTGGCCATCAGCCAGGACCGCTACCGTGTACTGGTGTATCCTATGGCCAGTCGGAGGCGGCAGCGGCGGAGGCAGGCCCAGGTTACCTGCCTGCTCATCTGGGTTGTGGGGGGCATCTTGAGTATCCCCACATTCCTGCTGCGATCCCTCAAAGCCGTCCCAGATCTGAACATCACCGCCTGCATCCTGCTCCTCCCTCATGAGGCCTGGCACTTTGCAAGGATTGTGGAGTTAAACATTCTGGGTTTCCTCCTACCCCTGGCCGCGATCATCTTCTTCAACTACCACATCCTGGCCTCCCTGCGAGGGCGGAAGGAGGCCAGCGGTACACGGTGCGGGGGCCCCAAGGATGGCAAGACCACAGCGCTGATCCTCACACTCGTGGCTGCCTTCCTGGTCTGCTGGGCCCCTTACCATTTCTTTGCCTTCCTGGAATTCTTATTCCAGGTGCAGGCACTCCGAGGCTGCTTCTGGGAGGACTTCATCGACCTGGGCCTGCAACTGAGCAACTTCTTTGCTTTCATCAACAGCTCCCTGAATCCAGTGATTTATGTCTTTGTGGGCCGGCTCTTCAGGACCAAAGTCTGGGAACTTTATAAACAGTGCACCCCTAAAAGTCTTGCTCCAATGTCTTCATCCCATAGGAAAGAAATCTTCCAACTTTTCTGGCAGAATTAAAACAGTATTGAACCAAGAATCTTGGTGTTCTTATCAATTCTTTGTGACATAATAAATGCTATTGTGATAGGCTAGTTACTCCCATAGGTTGGGGGTTACCTAATTCCTGGACTTTACGAAGGTTACTTTATATGTTAAAAGGGACTTTACAGCTGTTGCCAACTAAAGTCTTGAGATGGGGAGATGATCCCGAATTATCCAGGTGGGCCCAATATAATCACAAGGGTCCTTATAGGAGGGAAGCAGGAGGCTCAGAGTCAGGAGATGTGACAGGAGATGTGAAGAGAAGGAAGAGGCCAGAGGAATTCAGGGCGGCCACTACGAGCCAAGGATTGCAGGCACCCTCTAGAGGCTGGAAAGCGCAAGGCAATGGATCCTCCCCTGGAGCCTCCAGAAGAAATGGGTCCTGCCAACTCGTTGACTTCAGCCAGGGAAACATGTAGGATTTCTGGCCTCCAGAAGTGTTAGAGAATACATTGGTGTTTTGTTTTGTTTCATTGAGATGGAGTCTCTGTCGCCCAGCCTGGAGTGCACTGACGTAATCATGGCTTACTGCAGCCTCAATTTCCCAGACTCAAGGGAACCTCCCACCTCAGCCTCCTGTAGCTGGGACTACGGTGTGCATCACCATGCCTGGCTATGTTTTCTATGTTTTGTAGAGATGGGGTCTTCCTGTGTTGCCTCGTCGGGTCTCAAACTCAAGGGCTCAAGTGATCACTTTGGTCTCCCAGAGTGCCAGAACTGCAAGCATGGCCACTGCGCCCAGCCCCATTTGTGTTTTAAGCCACCGAGTTTCTGGTAATTTGTCATAGCGGCAACAGGAACAAATACAAGTGTCCAGTAAGGGCCTCTCCTATCACACTTCCGTTTGTCCTTTCAAAACTTTCCATGCAATCTGCCGGGAATGCAAGGATGATATCGCTAGGATAGATATAGCTATTCTATCTTCAAGGAACTTACATACATCTAAGTATTATAATATAAAAAACAAAATGAGAAATTGCATGAGCACAGCACAGATCCAGCATCTTGCGTCTTCAGAGAGAAAGCAGATGAGTTCCGTCTCAGGTTAGCAGAGAAGACGCCGTGAAGGGAGTCAGCCGCGAGCCTGGTTTCAACAAAGGGTGCAATCTGGATACACGGAGACGGGAGGAAGGGCTGGCAGGTGGAGGTGGGAAAGCGTGAGCTGCTCACGAATGAATGCTTGTGCATGCTGTTGTTGAACTCATAACGCACTGGTGCGCGTCTTGCTACGAGAGACCCAGCAGTGAACCTAACAGTGTCTCTACCTTCCAGGGGCGCACAGCAACTAGGACAATAATTAAGAGATTGTCACAGAGCAGGATGTCTGCCACCATCAGGGGGAGGGGTGCCATGAGAACCAGAATAGGGCTGCAGTCTGTGTGGCTACAAGGGATGGTTAGAGACGGGATCCCGGAGGAAGAGACACATAAACCGAATCCCAAAAAATGAGAGGCTGGCCAAGCAAAATGGGAGAAAAGAGTGTTCCAGACAGAAGGAACAAAGTAGGCCCAGAGACAGGTGAGTTATAGGTTCGGAGGGAGAGGTGGTCCAGAGGCAGATGAGTTACAGGTTAGGAGGGAGAGGTCGAAGGACAGCAGAGGAGGAGGCGGGTCACGCAGGGAATTGGGGCTGGAGGAGAATGGACAGGTTGGGTCCACGATGGTCAATTCACCCAGGAAGCATGTGGGGGCCCCACTGAAGCTGGAAAGTATGGCTGTGTTGTGTGAATTTACTTGGATAATGCTTGACAGACCCAGGAAAGGGTTGCTCTGGAGTAGGGTTTAGCCAGGTAGACGGCCATAGGTCATGGGAGTTGGGGATCCCGGTCAGACTCTGGGGAATGATGGAGAGGGAAGAAATGAGCACAGGGGGAGAAAGAAGTGGTGTGAGATTAGTGTGTTAAAGGACGGAGCAGTGAGAGAACCTGGGTGACAGAGCAAGAAGGAAAAGAAGGGCCGAGTGCGGTGGCTCATGCCTGTAATCCCAGCCCTTTGGGAGGCTGAGGCGGGTGGATGGCTTGAGCCCAGGAGCTTGAGACCAGCCTGGGCAACATAGCAAGACCCCCATCTCTACAAAAAAAAAAAATACAAAAGTTATCCAGGCGTGGTAGTGCATACCCTGTAGTCCAGCTGCTCAGGAGGCTGAGGCAGGAGGATCACTTGAGCCCAGGAGGTCAAGGTTGCACGCAGTGGGCTAAGATTGTGCCACTGCATTCCAGCCTGTATGACAGAGACCCTGCCTCAGAGAAAGAGAGCGAGAGAGAGAGCCACAGAGCAGGAATGTTTGAATAGGACACTCCAGAGGCAGAGCCATCCCAGGAGATGACAGGGACCAAATATGTCCCTGGCACCAGGTGGCTGAAGTAGAGGGAAGAAGAAGGAGGTTGGAGACAACATAGAGAATCAAGAGGTCAGATGTGGGTGGGCCGTCCACTGGGCCCCTGCAGGCAGGTAGGATGCTGTCAGGCCCTGGGGAGGAGAGAGTCCATGGGCCAGGCGGCCATTCCGAGGTCAGTTTCCATGGAGTGGGGGAAAGGGGGTAGTGACCAGACTCCAAGACACTTGGGGGAATAGGGAGGATGAGCAGTCCCCACAGCTGCACGGGAGGTGCTGGTGCTTGTGAACAGCAGCAAAGACTCACTCCAGGAATGGAAGGCAGGTCATGTTCTTGGAGCCTGGAGACAGGGTCTGAAGGGCTGGCAGTGGCTGGGCCACCAGGACCTCATTGGTGATAACCCTGTGATCAGTGCTCCAGCCCCTGCAGGTTTCCTGGAGAGCAGAGCATGGCCAGAAGGCCTGGAGCTGAGCCAACCGGCAAGATCCAGCCTGCACACCTGTTTAATTTGGACCACATGGCATTTTTTAAAACTCCAAGCCCCCAGGCTTTTGAGTTGGTTGCCAGTACTGAAACTTCACCTAGGGAGCCAGCTTTCCAGTTTCTCTTGAACATTTGGAATATCTAGCAACACTGATTCAATTTAATTCATTGAGGAGATATTTATTAAGCATCTACTTGGTCAGACACTGTCTGACTTGGTGGGCACTGAGAATATGGCAGTGAACGAAAACGAAGAACAGCGCTGGGTCCCTTAGAGTTGACCTTCTAGTGTCCACCAGGGCTTCAATTATTTGGTGCTGCAGGGCAGAGGCCCCATGAACAGGGCACCCTCCCGTCAGATTCACACACGTGGCAGCTGTGGGAGGCTGGGTTTGCAGCCCCTGATCCAGACCAGCTCTTCATGTATAGTCTGGGAAACAGAGCAGTGAGACCTGCCCAAGTATACCCGGTGGAACTCACAACAGCCACATACGGCAATAGGCTCAGTCATCTCATGTAATCGCCCTATTCCCTTGTGAGGTCTGTTTCAGGATGTCCTTTTTTTTTTTTTGAGACTGAGTCTCACTTTTGCCCAGGCTGGCATGCAGTGGCGCAATCTCGGCTCACTACAACCTCTACCTCTCGAGTTCAAGCGACTCTCCTGCCTCAGCCTCCCAAGTAGGTGGGATTACAGGCATGCGCCACGATGCCTGACTAATTTTTTTTTTTTTTTTTAAGTAGAGATGGTTTCACCATGCTAGCCAGCTGATCTCGAACTCCTGACCTCATGATACACCCACCTCATTCTCCCAAAGTGCTGGGATTACAGGCATGAGCCACTGCACCCAGCCTCAGGATGTCTGCTTTCTAGGTGAGGAAGAGGAGGCTGAGGCAGTGCTTGCCTAGACTGCAGAGGCTGGATTCACCCAACTCATCGGACTCCAACACCAACATGATTTCCAAGCCCCCAGGCATGAATTCACTGGGCAAAGGCTCTGTAGCAAAATGGCAAAAATAGGCTGGAACAGGCAAGCATATCAGGCAGGAATAGAAAGTGGGAAAGGGAAAATAATATCTGATCCCTCTTCTAATCTGAGCAAACTGACCCAAATACACCCTCCTTTCTTCTTTCTCAGCCTGCCTTAAGCTGGTGGCTGATCAAAATCCTTTCTAGGGATTGAGAAAACCAATCCCACACTCAAGAAGAATGTGCTGGGCAGTGAAATCAGACCACGTTGCTCACAGGATGTAGCTCTACAGTACACTGCAGCCACAGTCTGAGAAGTCAGACACCTGATTTATGGGATGCACATAAGTAATGTTTACCAAAGGCCAGCAAACAGCCCCACAGTGGGAGAGAAACTGGCAAACCCATGCAGTAGAATTCTTTTGCCTTTCTATGTGAAAGGTCAGTTACTCATTTGCAGAGGGAGAAATTTCTGCCTTGACTAAAACGATCGATGCTGTGAGGAAAGGTATTTCTGAGTATTTCTGAATTCTCATGGATCTGCTTGACAGGTCTGCCCGGCGTGTTCCACACCTAGCGCCAGGCACAGGCCACACCTGCAGTGTTAATACCTGGGGCGGAGGGAGGAATTAGCAAATACTCTTCCAGCATCCCCAGCTCCAGCACCCATGTGGGCTTCCACTTTCTCCCTGAGAGGGGCCAAGTAGAAAGAGATGAGGAGCTTCCACTCCAATCCGCTCCCAGCTTTGGGCCTGTCCTGGGCTCTAGAACCACATGATCAGAGGCTATCTGTTGCCTTCGCTGCCCTCTGCAGTGGGAAAGTGAAAAAGCTGCCCCCACTCTGCCCCATCATCACCCCAATCCATCATGAGGAGTGAGCAGTGCTAAGGCCTTCCAAATCCCAGCCTTGGGGAAACTCCCTGATGTTGCAATGGCCACAAGCAGGTTCTTGTTCACCAGAGATGAGTCACAAGTTTGAGGAGGAGCAGGTCAGAAGCAACCCTGGGAAATGTCCCTCCCCACCCCTGCTCCCACCACAGCTCCCAGGGACCTGGGCATCCAACCAGGGCTGATCCGAGCCCTGGGATCCCCCTGAGCTCCACGCTGGCCTCTGTGCCTTCAGCTCCTTCCTGCCATTCCTTTTTCCCTGTGCCCCGCCCCTTTCTCCAGACCCCCTTGATCTCTCTCAGCACCCTCATGCCTCCCCGAGCCCCCCAGCTCAGGCGTCTGTCCAAGAAGGGCCTCACCGCGGGGCTGCTGAGTGTACAGTGCAGCCGGTCAGAGGCCCAGGTCTCTGAGTCACACATGCCAGCGTTCCAGTCCTCGCTCCACCACGCATGAGCCTGGTCAGCCACAGAAACTCAGCAGCCCATCTGTAAAATGGGAAGGAGGAGAGCAGGGCCTCACTGTGTTGTTGTGAAAATGAGTGACGCAAGGGACTTACTCCCTTTTTGGAAAGAGATAATCAGCAAAGAAAGAGAAGGAAAGGTGAGAAAGAACTGGAGGAAGAGCCTAGATGTGTGTGAGACACCAGGACAGTGCCCACCCCAGCGAGCACCCAGCAACCATTTTCTCCCATGAGCAGAAGAGGCTCTGACTATGACCAAGTAAATGCATGTCAAAGTGAAGTCTGAACAAAACCCCAAAAACAGTGTCCATGTCACTCTCCTGGTTGGGATGCGGCACCATCCCTGTGTAAGAGGTTACTATTGGGAGAAACTGAGTACAGAGTAATGGGGCTGAGTGCAGTGGCTCATGCCCATAATCCCAGCACTTTGGGAGGCCAAGGTGGGGGGATTGTGTGAGCCCAGGAGTTCGAGACTAGCCTGGGCAATACAGTGAAATCTTGTCTCTCCTAAAAATACAAAAATTAGCCAGGCATGGTGATGCACACCTGTAGTCCCAGCTACTCAGGAGGCTGAGGTGGGAGAATCAGTTGAGCCCAGGGTTCAAGGCTGCAGTGAGCCATGATCGTGCCATTGCACTCCAGCCTGGGCAACGGAGTGAAACTCTGTCTCAGAAAAAAAAGCAAGGAATAAGTACAAGGCATCTTTCTTATCATTGTATGCAAATATGCTAAAAACCTTTAAAAGAATGCATCATAAGTTTAACCACTCTGCCTTACAGATGAAGAAACCAAGGTCCGGAGACAGACTTATCCAAGGTCACTGAGTAAGCAGGCTCCTGCTACAGGGCTCTGTTCAAACCCAGGATGCCCACTGGGCCCTGGTGACAGGTCTCAGTCTCAGGCTGAGGTCAGAGAAGAGGCCTGAGTACCAACGGTCCCATTTCAGTGGCCCTAATGGTGGCAGAGACTCCCTATGGCCAGGGTTGTGGTTAGGGCAATAGGCAGGAAGCCAAGCCTACTTACCAGGAGCTTAAGGGGACAGAAAACTATCAGAAAGGACTGGTTGGGACCCAGCAAGTGTGGCAGGAAGACATTTCAGGGCTTCAGTCGACAGGGTGCTCAGTGTGTAGTAGCCATCAAAATAGCTGCCAGCTCTCAGGTGCATTAATAGAAGTATAGCCTCTAAAATGAGGGAGGTGTGCATGTTCTCACTCATAGGCGGGTGTTGAACAATGAGAACACAGGGACACAGGGAGGTGAGCATCACACACTGGGGAATGTTGGGGGGAAATAGGGGAGGGACAGCGGTGGGTAGGGAGGTTGGGAGGGATAACAGAGGGAGAAATGCCAGATATAGGTGATGGGGATGGAGGCAGCAAACCACATTGCCATGTATGTACCTGTGCAACAATCCTGCATGTTTTGCACGTGCACCCCAGAACCTAAAGTGCAATTAAAAAAAAAAAATATATATATATATATATATATATATATATATATATGTTAGCGACAAAGAAAAAAGGACACATTTAAGTTTCATATTAGGAATAAATCAATTTTATTTAATTTAAAAAAAAAGGAGGGAGGTGATATTTCATTAACTTAGCACTGGACAGAGTCCATGAGGAGTATTGTGCCCAGCTCTTGGCTGATTCCAAAGACAGGGATCAGACTGGTGAGGGGACACAATAGCAGACTCTCCACACACAGGGCGGCTGAGGGCTTACCGCAGAAGACAAGACTTACATGGAGAGAGGAACAAATGTACTTAGTGTTACCCCAAAGGGACCAAAGAGAAAAAAATCCTGAGAAACATATTCTGTCTGAGTCACCGGTTCAGTCACTCACCACTTGCAGAGTCCAATGAACAAGAATGAGGTCTGATATAAAGAAAGTGACTGATTTCCAAAGCTTCGCTTGGGGGAAGAAGTACAAGCTCCTGCCTTAAGGGTGCCGCTTTGCTTTGGGGGAGAAAGCAGGGGATGTTGAAGTGGGACTTGGCATGAATGGCATTCAGGGGAGGGAGTGGGCAGGTGGGGGAGGGGTATATGTGACTCTTCCTAGTTCTGCCTGTGATGGTGCCAGCTCAACTACCTGGCAGAGTAGAACTAGGTTGTAAAGTGGCCCATTGTCTCAAGATACTGTCCAGGAGGGAGAGAGTTTCCTATCGGGCATACTTGAGGTTGTAAATTCACTAATGTCTCTCGAGGCAGTCTCCTGGTGGGAGAGATGTCAGGCACTGGAGCTTCTAAGCGAACACATAGACAAGCTTGCCCTGTAGGGAGTGTCTGGTGAGGGGAAGGTTATAAATTGCATTTCTAAAGAGCTAAGTAGAAAGTGGGGAACAGGAGGAAAGAGAAAAGAAGAAAATAATAATTTTAAAAATCCAGCTCACTCTCTTTCTCTTAGAAAAACAGGGGTACTTATTTATAGGACTTCAGCCCTTGAAGAATTGGACTTTACAAAATGAAGAAGGGAGGCCATGGCGCTGAGAAGGAAAGAGTCAGCAAAGGGAGGCTTGGAGGCCAGCGCTGATGGGATGGCAGGTAAGTAGGAGGATCACACAAATAACAGCTGGAATGACAGCATAGCCAGCTCTGCACAGTCAGTCCGGACCGTCTCTGACATGCGTTGCATGCACAAGTATTTGCTGACCTTATTAGAGCAGAATCTCTCTGCAAGGGCAATACCTGGCATCCGCTTCTTATGTGTCGCTCTTATTGATTTTGGTGTCATTCCCTGGGTTTCACAACCCCCTCAGCCAATGCCTTGTGGCTTATTCCAGTGTGATTTTCCCTTCACTGTCCTACACCCAACGTTGTGGCAGGGAAAACGGAAGACTGAGAAGGCGCGAGAAAGGAAGAAAAGGATTCATCTATCATGAACAAAATGCCAACATTCTTAGTACAATCAGGACCCAGTAGGTATCTGGGTGACTTTGAGGGAAGTAAACTGGAGCATGGAGATGCCTCATCAAATCACGTCTTTATTTAAACTTTCGAGGTTTTCTTCATCATGGATGTTTTTGCATTAATTTTGATTTTTTAAAACTTTGTGTTATTGTTTGATTACAGATGTGCTCCTGCCTTGGACTTTGTGCCCAGGTGAGAGTCTCATTCGCCTCGCCCCAATCCCACCCTGAGTGGGAGGGTGTGGGGGCTGCATTTCCAGTAGAGCGATCTAGCAGAGAAGCTTCCACTGGCTTCTATTTCACACTCCTCTGTAGACATCCCTCAGGGAAGGCCGCAGAAGATCTTTATCTGAACACAAAGCACATTGCTATTCTCTCATGCCCCAAACATGGCTTTATCAGTCTGCAGTGAAAGTGCCACCAGGGGCCCGGTGTGCTGGCTCCAGCCCCGTGTTTATAGGGAGAAATTAATCATGGAATAACATGACATTTTTATTTTTAATCTACACAGTGTCCTTGACTAGGAGGAAGCTGTACACCGACAAGCCCCGTGAAAGAGGACAGTTAGGATCTTTCCAAGTCCTTCCCACGGCGGCACGTGGGGTCGGAATTTGCCCAGGTGCCACGCTTGGTTGGGGGTGATTTTCAAACCAAGTTCCACTGAGAAGAGAGCGGGCGCCCCCTGCTGGCACCAAGGGCAGACTGCTCTATCCCCAGACGAGGTTCTGCACACACTTTCTTTCAAAGCAAGCCCTTACCTGGGTCACGACAGATCCGTTCCAAAGCGAAACAGAACACGGAAACAGGACAAGGCAACAATGTCTCTTGAAAGGGGGTTGCTTAAAGACCTCTTCAAACAAAAACTTAAAAAATAATGAACGTGTTTTGTGGGCATGTCAACAGATAACTTCTATAGGAAGGCAGTTGATGATAGCTACCTAAATTTCTTTCTTTTTCTTTTCTTTCTTTTTTTTTTTTTTGAGACAGAGTTTTCCTCTTGTTGCCCAGCCTGGAGTATGGTGGCACGATCTCAGCTCACTGCAACCTCCGCCTCCCGGGTTCAAGCGATTCTCCTGCCTCAGCCTCCCAAGTAGCTGGGATTACACACATGTGTCACCACGCCCGGGTAATTTTGTATTTTTAGTAGAGACAGGTTTCTCCATGTTGATCAGGCTGGTCTCGAACTCCCGACCTCAGGTAATCCACCCGCCTCGGCCTCCCAAAGTTCTGGGATTACAGGCATGAGCCACCATGCCCAGCCAGCTACCTAAATTTCAAATGGTTGTCCTATATGGACACAGCGTTACTCCTGATAGTGATTTATCCAGCAGATAGAAGAAATGGAGGAGCAGCAAAGTCAAGTGGCTCAAGGTGAACCTTTAGGGTAGAGATTTGGCTAAAATTCCACTTCACTGACACCAAATAGAAATAAACGCTGGGCCACGTTAAGATGGCTTTCCAAATGGAACCTAGAATGGACAATTAAGAAGGAATTAGAACGGAATCTGGGGTGAAGAAAAAGGTTACGTCCTGAAAGTGTCGGAGTTGAGGGGAGTAAAATTTTAAACTGAAATGGAGGCACAGGGGAAATCGTATTTGGCCTTTGAAGTGTTTATTATCAATGGAAGAAGGATTTCTGGCTATGGCATTAGAACATTGATACTGTGTTAAAAATAGCACAGATGCTGGCATTTTTTTCACTCATCCTTTAGTAAATGTTAAACAGTTTATGGAGGGATTGCCTTGAAGTCTCCATCATTGAAAATAACTGGGCCACATCTGGGCTGATAAAATGTTCATGTTCAAGTTCTGAAAGTCAAGTTAGTACTTTGCACTGAGCGGCTGAGTCTTCCTCTATACCTCGGTGGAATCCAAATCTGAAAGAATGTCTCATCCTCTTCTGGTAACCTTAGAAATTCTTTCTGAAGGATGCACCAATGTTCATTTTTCTCCATTATTCCAAATCCCAGAAAACTTGGTCTCCAACACCCTTTTTGAGATTGATTTTTAAATACCACCCTGGTTATATCTCTACGATTAGATTTCCTTGTAACTAGGCAATCTTAAATATCAGAGCTGGCTCTCCCACCTTCCCTGATGCCACCCCAGATCTGTGTTTAATGCCAGGGAAGCAGAAGTCCAGATGCCCAGAAACAAGAGGAGACCAGGTGGTGTCTTCAAACCCAGGAATCCCGACTCTGACACTGTTTCCCAGTGGTTTATGTTCCTTTCCTCAGCATTGTGAATGGCTCCTTGAATCTCTCAGAGAGCACAGCAAATTGATTTACACTTGTAAGGAACAAATGTCTAGGATGAATAACTGTGTTTCATCTCTTGCATATTGGAGTTTGTTGTCTTTTTCTTTTACCTTTTCTATGATGTGGAGAGTTTGATGTCTTCTCACTGGATTCTGAGCTCCCTGAGAGCAAGGACCAGATCTTTCCTCTCTAGCACAGGGCTTTGCACACAGTAGCCTTTCAAGAAACAGTAGCAATATCTAAATCTTCCATCATACTTACTGTGTGCCAGAGAGACACTGTTTGAAGCACTTCCCATATATTAACTCCTGGAATCCTCATAACAATTGTATTATTATTTTATATAGAAGGAAGCTCAGAAAGGTTAAGTAACTTCCCCAAGGCCACACAGATCAGAAATAGCAGAGCCTGAGTTCAGCCCCAAGTAGCCTAACTCTAACATCTATACTCTTAGCCACTGTGTCATGGCTCCCAAACTTGTCTATGTATTAGTCCCATGGAGAGCTTTGCAAATACATCCTAGGGATTGGGATTTAGCTGATCTTTGGTGTGGCCTGCACTTTGGCCATTTTTGAGAGATCCCCTGGTTCTTCTCAAGTGCAGACAGGTTCTGAGACCCAGTGCATTACACTGCCCTGCCCCATTCAACAGCAGATGTTTGCTGAATGGGATTTGCTCTGTGTGGAACTGCTTTCAGGAATATAAACAAGCCCAGGGGAAAGAAATCCTAACTCTAGCAACAGCAAATTATCTTTGAGTGCAGCTGAATGTAATTCCAATAGAGTGTGTCAGCACATGGGTCTGCAGTCAGAAATTCCTGCATTCAGAGTCTAAATGGGCTGGTTATGATCTGCAGGTAGTGGTCAGGCCAGGTGCTCACCAACCTCAGTTTCATTGCTTCCTGGGCACATAGGTAGACTCCATTACCCATGTTTCCCATTGGCTGAAACCACGTGACAGAATTCTGACCAATGTGGGCAATAGTGATGTTTGCTCCTGTCTCCCTGGCTACGTCCTGGCCGTAGTCCTCCTGTCTCTCCTGTGCAGAGATCCCAGCTGGGGATTTTGAAGTTCCTCAATATGCAGAGCCACAAGATGGAAGGAGCCTGGGCTTGTCCATCACTGCTTGAAGGAGAGCTGTCAGATATTCCAGAATGCCAACTGGGCTTTCTGTAAATGAGAAATAAACCTCTTTTTTTGTTAAGCTGCTGAGATTTGGGGATCTAGCTATCACTAGTGACTAGGTTTCCTTAACAAGTATATGGTGTGGCTTGGGATAGGTTCCTTAACCTAAGCCTTGTTTTGTCATGTGCAAAATACAAATAATGGCACAAATGTGAACCAGACAAAGTAGATTCACTCTCCCCTTTTCTGCCCCTGCCCTCCACCTTAGCCTCTGCCCAGAACCCTGTGCCTTATGGACTGGGCATGAGTCAGGTTCCACCCATGAGAGGCTCCAGCAGGAGATGGGAGGGCAGGAAAGTGGGGGTGGGCGTCTATCCCTCTGGCTGCTTCCCTCCACCTTGGGTCATAGCTCCTATCAGGCAGCCCCTCTTTCAGCTGTAAGTTCTGGGAATCACTCCCTTAGTCTTTTCAGGACTGCAGTTGTGCCTGGTGTTGCTTCAGTCTCTTGAGAGATGGGATGAAGACGGAGGGGCATCCTATTCCCATTCCCACCAGGAGAGCCACAAAAGGTGAGAAATGGCCATTGGCTCACATGACTTTGAGGCCAGGGCAGGCCCAGAGCTGAAAGTGGGTTAAAGAAGAGCTACCAAGTCTTCACTTGGCTCAGAGACAGCCATGAGGTGCCTGTGGTCTTCCTTTACCCTGTCCTGCCCACCATGTGCTGAGTATTTCCTTCCTAGCACCTGCCCATCACAGGGAGTGGTCATGTCTCCTGCTGGGACCCTGGCTGATACTGAATGTGAATGTTACATTGTTGATACTGACTGTGAATGTGAATGTCCCCCTACCCTGGTGAATGGGGCAGGGCGGTGTAATGCACTGGGTCTCAGAACTTGTCTGCACATGAGAAGAACCAGGGGATCTCTCAAAAATGCCAAAGCCTAGGCCACACCAAAGACCAGCTAAATCCCAATCTCTGGGGTGTATTTTTAAAGCTCCCCAGGGGACTAATGTGCAGACAAGTTTGGGAACCATGCCACAGTAGCTAAGAGTGTTGTTGAGTGCTGAGCAGAGGAGTTGCCACACAGGAAACATTCAATCAATGCTGAACTTTTACTTCATATATATATTTACTTTAAAAGTTATCACAAGTATTGCTAAAATCAAGAAAACATGAGCTTACATTGGATAAAGGACACCTGTAAGTAGTAATCATGTAATCTTGGGCAAAGAATTTCCCCTCTCTGGGCTTTGGCTTCCTCAACTGCAGACAGGACTAGATGACCACTAAGGTTCCCTTGTTCATTCATTCATTCATTCACCATTTGCTGATCCCTGACTCTGGGTCAGGCACCATACTAAGCACCAGGTCCCTAAGTCCCTTGCCCTCCTGAAGGAAGTCAGACCAACCGGGAAACAGACATGGACCTACCACATGCGAGGAGTGCTGCAAAGTTTAACAGAGAAAAGGAGAGCATGCTGTAGTGGGAAAGAGAGAGGAAGGGAGGGTGGCCAGGCCTGCCTGCAAGTGGAGCCTCTGGGCTGAGACGCAGCAGCAGGCAGAGATCCAGAGGCAGCGCCCGGGTGGGGCGGCCACGGCACTTGGACTTGTCCCAGGCTGTGCATGGTTTTTCTCAGGGGAGCTCTTAGCCCAGTGGATTTTTAATGGGATTTTTGTCATACTTTGCATATTTGGCCACATCTGGAGACATCTTTGGTTGTCACAACTGGGAGAGGGGACTTTGTGACTGGCATCCAGTGGCCAGAGGCTGGCGTGGGGTGGGGGTTGGCAACATCCCCTGCATCCTGCAATACATAGGCCAGTTCCAAAGGTCAAGTGCCTGAGGCGGGGAACCCCCGGCTTTAGCCCCACGCTGAGATTTTGCCTTAATTGGTGTTGACTGTGGCCGGCGCTGCAGCATTTAAAGAAAGAAATATTGCAGGTGGTGCTAGTTCCTGCTCACGGGCATGCAGAACTGAACCGCTAGGGTGGCTAAGCATAGCCAGGAGAGGGAAGAAGGGCTGGAGACGCCGGAAGATCAAGCGCATTTTCTTGCTCAAATACTCTAAGAGCCTTTCATCTCAATCCTCTAGCAAAATTCTGTGATTTCCCAATTAGTGAAGAGGTTTTGCTAATTTAGATAACTGCTCCAAGCTGTTCTTAAATGAAGTCCTGGGAAGAGCAATGGGTCTGGGAGTCAAACCATGGAACAGTGAGCAAGTTTCTTGACCTCTCTGAACCTGTGTCCTCCTCCGGAAAACAGGGACTCTAGTTACTGCCTCTCAGCAGGGGCTGCGAGATTATAAAAAGAATATACCAGGATACCTGGCACACAGTGAGCATCTCACAATTGTCCCCTTCCCTCTCTTCAAGAGCCACGTGTTGTGTGACTTGGCATTTTTCCCTAATTGTTCAAAGTGGATATATAGTGACATCTGTCACACCACCTTTTAAAGTAATTTGTCTTTATAAGTATGTCTGGCCAGGCACAGTGGCTCAATCCCAGCACTTTGGGAGGAAGATGTGGGCCGACCACCTGGGGTCAGGAATTCGAGAGCAGCCTGGCCAACATGGTAAAATCACGTCTCTACTAAAAACACAAAAAAGTAGCCAGGCATGGTGGCGGATGCCTGTAATCCCAGCTACTTTGGAGGCCGAGGCAGGAGAATCACTTGAACCCAGGAGGCAGAGGCTGCAGTGAGCTGAGATTGCTCCATTGCACTCCAGCCTGGACAACAAGAGCAAAACTCCATCCAAAAAAAATAATAAAAATAATGTCTTTTAAATATTCCCTTCATAAGTAAAACTATTCCTCCAAATAGTTATCAGGTTTGTGAAGCCAAAACTATGGGATGTGTTTGCCACAAGTCCGTACTGCAGGGGTAAGATGATTAACAGAGGGCCTATCATCCAAAGCAGGGAGGGAAGAACTGTTAATACTCCATACAGCGCAGAAATTAGCAGCGGACAGACCCAAGATTGGCTATGAGAAGCACCAGGGGCATAGGAGCCTCATTTCCCTATTACAAGGTCTGAAGCAGATGGACATCCCACCCCAAAAAGTATTTTACACACGTTTTGGGAACACTTCTTGGTGAATGGCAAGAGTGTTTAAAGCAAAATCCAAAGAGTAAATATTTTAATTCTCTTCAAGAGTATTCATATTTTTATATCATTTAAATAGTCACATTAACAAGGTACATTTCCACAAAAATACTTGTACAATATCAATATTCTTATTCACATCCATAATTACCGTAATTAGGAAAAATTAGGAAACTTAGCAGAGACAGTCAATACACATGTTCTTTTACTTGTGGTGAGATAAATTCAATGTCTAAAATAAGTCAGGATGGATCAACATGAAAGCTGAACTAGACACCGTGCCCGAATGTCTCAATGAAAAAGCAAATAGTCCTGGGTGACCAGCAAGTCACACAAACAGTGCAAGACAAATCCAGCTAGAAATTGGAAGCCGCCATTTTGTACACAAAATACATGTGAAACAGCAAAGTAAACATTTTTTTAGAGGGAAGGGCTGCTACCTGGGGCGTTAGAGATATAACTGAGCCAGCTGAGATGACATTTACAATCTCTTGAAATACAGCAGACGGCACTCTAGTGCTTCCTATGAGGCAACATGCTTG